TAAGCCCATTCTTTTGCATGTGAGGCAAGAATTCAAACATGTGACCTGTGTCCCCAGCCTGAGACATGGTTTTTAAAAGAATATTTTTAGTATATAATTTCTAACTTTTTGTTGCTATTTTTTCTAATTTTTTTTCAATTTTCTACATTGATATTTAGTTTATTAACTACATTTCAGGTTGTTTTCTGGCATTACTTAGATAATTAACAACATCAATTTTTGAACTCTCAATTACTAGTATTACATTGTTTGTTTGCTTGAGTTGATTATACTTTTTATTGTGTGAGCTATTATTTTCATTGGGATATTTCTATTCAAAATCTCTTCAATTAGATCATTATAGTCATTTTGGAAAATATTTGGAAGTTACGAAGTAAACAACAAAAAAGGTGATGTGCAATGATATATAAATTTAATTCCATATAAATGGAAAGCTGAGACAGTGGAATGCCAGTTTAAAATAAATTTCATTATCTTTTTAATAAACTGTTTTTTAAGAAAAAGTATATAGATATAGATATATAAATATAGAGAAATGCCTGTGGATCTAGTTTGGTGATAGAATACCCCTGTGTTCTCTTATGAAATAATCCCCCCAAAGATAAAAATAAAAATAAACAAATAAGAGATATTCATTTCCTGAAACACTTGAGTCACAGGTGGATTCTGAATATGTTGAAGTGAAGGGCTATGATTTGACATTGTTGTAGTAATATTAGTCAGTTTGCATTTTGTCCTTATCTGTGGTGCTACAATTTCTTAAGATAATTTTCAAAATTTTCAAAGCTTTTGTCATCATGTTGTAGTGAATTTTATGTATTTATTGAATAATAATCACCTTGAATCATACTGTTCTGTGGCTATTCCCCCCCACTTTGATAAAGTTTTATATAATTGCAGAGTTATTCACAATAGTAAGTGAAATAACTTTGTATTATTTTTTTAGGTATGTCTTCTAATCAAAACCAAGAATTTTCAGGGGAGCAAGAAATACAATATTTTTTGTAAAACTTGAAAAAGCAAAGGTATGGAAAGCAGGACAGTTAATACTTGGTTTTAAACAAGAAATTGAAATTGAAAGAGAGGGAAGTTCAGAAAATTTGTCTTAATGAATGGAAAAAAATATGAAAATTATCTATTTAAAAAATTACAAGTTAATCAGGTTATATTATTACAAAAATCTCAGAAGACTGACTGCTCATCTAGTGCCATTCAGTTTTTCTTTCATTAAAACTTTAAATTACACTATTGTAATTGTAAAAGTTTTACTACTAAGTATTTTTTTTAAAACCACTTGCAATACACGATGTTTTAAATTGCAAATCATGTATCAAATTACATTTACACAATGTTTACAGGGCATTATGAAGCTGTCTTTTAAAAATATCTTTAGGATAATAAAGACTCAACCAGTTTTCTCAGCTTTAGAAATAGGATTAGAATAGAAATAGGCATTTTAATAAAAAAAAAAAACTCAAAAAGTTATAAAGTGCTTATAGTCAGTTATGTTTTTAAAACTTTTAATAATCTCTACATAAGTGCAGGTTAGAGAAAAGTGTACAGATCATTAATTTAAAGTTGCAGCATTCTAATCTGTTTTTTTATAAAGTAATAAAAAGAGATTTTCTACACAGTATAGACAAATTGTCTAATTTAAACACATGCATACGATTTCTACTTAAAAGAAATACATGAAGATTAAGGAAATGCTGAAACAAGCCTTAGTAAGACATTTCTGTTTTAAAAGAACAATTCAATAATTAAATGTGCTTACAGTGAAAGTTTGGTAGGTATTGCTTTTAAATGCAATAATAATTAAGCAAAAAAAAAAAAGAAGAGAAGCAGTTTAATCTTTCTAAAACACATCAAGTAAGCATACAGCTCATCTGTCATGTATGACAATCCAAACACAGGAAAGTTCCAGGAACTTTTAGCAGAGTCTCCCAGAAAGAACACAGCCCAAATGGCTTGCAGGAATCACACCCCAAAAGCAGACATGAGGGTCTTGTGAGAATTATGAAAGGCTTCTGACAGTTTTCCAGTATCTTGCTAAGAGGTATAATAAAACAAGCCTGAGATAGAAGTAGTAGGGATGGTGTGGGGCAAATGAAGAACAATGAAGGGCTTAAGCTAATAATTGTATAACCCTTTGAGAAAAGTAAAGCAGCCATAGTGGTGATTTAAGACAACCTTTGAATGAGGAATGGCTTACCATTAAACTTCTCCTCTGTAAGAAAAAAAAAAAGATCTATAATGTCTTTGTCATTTCATGATTCTGTCTACCATTGCAGAAGCCCACTTTTGTAGAACCTTCTCCCTGAAACTTGATAGTTTGAGTCAAGGGTGCTTGTAAATATTTATTTATAATTTTAATTCAAATTGAAGCAGTCTTTGTGTAGTTACCAATGTATTTATGGCTCATAAGTTAGCATAATTACTCCATGTCATGGGACATCAAGCATCCCTCCTGAGTAATTTCTTTTTTGTAAGCTGATGAGCCATCTGAAAAAAAAATAAATATATGAAATAATTAGTAAAGGAATATAAGACCAGGCAAAAACTTATGTTAAAAGCGGTAAAACATCGTATAGATTCTCTAGACTACATAAGTTCTGATAAACAATTGCTAGATAATTTTTTTCAGTTCTTTTTTTAAGGGAGTGTGCATCAAAGTAGGAATAAGATTTCAACAGGAAGAGTCTTTCTTGAGATAGGTTCATTGGCATTCTGACATGTCTCACCCATCTCTGTGATGCTAAGTGGCTATATGGCTCCAATGGATGATACCATCTCCAATGCCATGCTTAATTTAGACAAAACTAGGTAGTATATAACATGTACTGGATAGTCTCAAACCAGCTGGATTTCAACTGTGAGTTCCTAAATACCAGACTTTTTACCTAAAGTCTTCCATGCTTTTTTTAAAATTTCATGCACAATTTATAGATATCTTTCAGCAGCTCCATCTGACATGCACTGCTTCATCTTTCATATAAACAGGGATTTTGACCAGACTCCAAGTGAATATCCCAAAAGATCTATGCATTTTTGTGGTTTTGGTTGGAATGAGAAAAACTTTCCTAATGTGAGAAACAGAGACTTCCTGGATCCTATAAAAGTCCCTAATAAACTAAATCCTGTTGCCATTAGATTTTTCTGAGGCCCTAGAACTATTTATCTGTGCATCTCAAAGAATATGTTTTCAACAAATCAAAAGTATTCTCTAACTTATTTCAGTAAGCTAGTTACATAGAAAGAATTTTAAGAACACCCTCAGTGATAGATATTTTTGCTGGAAAGTAGAGCAGCCAAGCTCAGATGAAGTTTGCTCTTTGGCTTAATGAAGAATGCTCTGGCACATCAGGGCAATAATATTTCCCAGTACCTGAAGGATTCCCCACAAATTAAAACTAGACAATAGTGTGTTGGAGGAAAGGTGGAACTGTAGGAATGTGAAGCATTGGCTAAGCTGGAGAGAGACAAGAACACATATGGCAGTCACATTTGAGGACCTGTGTGTTCTTTTAAACATTTTTGAACAGCATTTTTAATTATACTGTTTCTCTAAAAAATGAAAAATTTGCAATGGAGTCTATTTCATGCTTTAGTTAGTCACTGGAATAATTTAAAATTCACCATTGAGTAAATATATACAAATATTTCTTTAGACAAGATAGAATAAAAAGAAGGAGCAGAAGAAATTTCTTAGTTTTAGTAGTCTCTCTGACTGTTACTTACAAAAATGATGAAATGAAGAGTTTCTCCTTGTGGCAATGCATGGAATTATAATGATTGTTGGAGTACTTGTACTTACCTAATATTGCTTAAGTTAAAAGTAGAAAGAATTTTAAAAACATTCTCAGTGATACTCAGAGAGACCTATATTTATGATAAATCTTTTAGGACCTGTAGACAGTCTCTACCCTAGGTAATTCGCAGCATAATAGATTTGGTGTAAAACAATGTAAATTCTGTGAAAGTCATTAAAGTTTTCTTCTTTTTTTAAATCTTAGAAATCACCCATGTGATCGTTTAAAAGAGCTTTACAATGAGAAAAGTGAAAAAGTTTTTAATCCATACCCAAAATTTATTTATCCAAGCTTTTATAATCAAAAGACAAATTACAGCTATAAGGTATGTGAAATCATTTTTAATAAAACTACAAGAATTTCTGACCTCCAGAGAATTAATATTGGTGGAAAGCTCTACAAGGTAAAGAAATATGTAAAAGCATTTAAAAATTCCTCAGTTCTTTATGAGAGATGTGATAAATCCTCCATAAGTAAAGAATGTGAAAAAATATTTTACTCAAATTCTATGTGTTACTAAAAACAATAGGCTTTACAATGGAGATAAACCTTACAAATTGAAGAAATGTGAAAATGTATTTAAGTGTTGCTCAAACCTCTTTAAACACTACAGTAAGCATACTGGAGAGAAATTCTGGAAATGTAAAGAAAGTGTCAAAGCTTTTAATAAAAAATCACACCTTCCTGAACACCAGAAAATTCATACTGGAAAAAAGCCATACAAATGTAAAGAATCTGAAAAAGATTTTAATCGAAAATCATGCCTGACTGAACACCAGAGAGTTCATGCTGGAGAAAAGCCATACAAATACAAAGAATGTGGCAAAGCTTTTAATACAAATTCAAACCTTACTGAACACCAGAGAATTCATACTGGAGAAAAGCCATACAAATGTGAAGAATGTGGCAAAGCTTTTAATCAAAAATCATGCCTTA